TGAGAAGCCACATTCATTGAAGAGTTAAGATTTAGTGGCCTCCGTTTTACACCAGTGTGAGCGAGAATCACTTTTAAGGGCTCTAATGAAAGTTGAAAGTTACCTTCAAAAAGTTATGCATATTTCAACAGAAATAAAAATCATTATGCATTCTCTCTAAAGAGGATACAATCTCAAACTGTCAAAATTCTAAACTCTTCTACATATATTACATACAAATGCCTTCTATAAAGAAACCTCTTTTCATTTTTCTTCTAAATTAGCTTAGTGGTCCATGGTATTACACTATCCTGGTCTAGCCTGTGAATAATGTGACAGGTAATTTTTATACTTCTTTGCCTGTACTTAAGTTTGAGTGAAGATACGGAAAACAACTTTTATGATCTACGTGTAAAAGTAAATGTTCTGTAAGCCCTGCATACCCAAACTTGGACAGTTATCATAAAATATTTCATGCTAAATATGTGTTCATCAATAAATAACAAAAAAAGAGGGTAGGGTTGTTTTTTTTGTAATAGTATGCAGTAACTTGTTTTTCTCAAAACAAAATGATAATGCTAACATTGATGTAACCTACCATATTATCATAGAAGGGATTTAAGATTCTGTGTTATCAGATAGGAATCATTATGTAATAGGATGCACTGAGAAGGATGAATAATATGCAGACAACATACGAAATCATCGAGCTGTAATTTTAAAAATTGGATTCCTCATAAATATGTGGACTGTGACATTGAAATGGATAGCAACAGTCGTATTCAATGACATAGAAATGGATAGCAACAGTCTAGTTCCATCTTGAGAAAAGCTCAAAACACCCCTGTACCCGCTTAAGTTCGCAAGTGATCGGAACAGCTTCAAAATGCTGAACAGTTGTTTGATTTACAATACCGAGGAATCAAATCTCTAACTGAAACCATGGCAAACCCAGATTATATTTTCTCTTGTACCCAAACATTAGGCAGCCACAGCAAGGCTATTTTTCTCAGTCTCTGTGATTTACTTATGTTCCAGTACTATGCTGCAGACTGTGCTAAGACATAATCAAAATGAATTAACTTGCAACTACTGGGTTGGCTCTTTTCTCTGTAGTGAAGAAGTCCACTACTACACTTCCAAATACAGATCTTTTTAAAACTACTTTCCTCTGTCTCCTTTCATGAAGGAAAAAAGGCATTATGTGGCCATCAGATTAAAATGTTAAATCCAGTATAGCAAACTATATTTTTAAGGTGTTCCACCAAGAAGAGAGAAAATTATATCGGATGATGCTCGTATAAATAGAAAAGCTTAAAGAAATAAGGGAGAGAAATAAGAGAAATAGAAGAATGTAAAAAGAGGCGGTATTGACAAACGTCTTCAGTTCTGAGTCTCTCTACAGGTAAAACTATGGCTAGAGACAGGAAACAACATGAAATTTTCCAGACCACGCTGTTGGTCCTGGTATTATATTTTTATATAACAAATGCAGTTTAAAGTGAAAGGAAGGATTTATGCCAGAAAACTTTCTGGCAGACACTGGAGACACCCTTGACACCCCATTGCAAAAGCTGCATTATATTTTAAGATATGGGTACATTTTAAGATTTAAAATTAACATTAATCTGTTTTAAGTAAATCAGCAGAAAGTTCTTTGGAAGAGTGAGCTCACTCAGCAGTTACACCACTATGGAAGACTCACGTGTGTCCTCTCTCCATATACCTCAAGTACATACTTTGGCATAGCAGAATCTGTCTTCTCCTTTCCATGTTTGATGAGGCTGCTAAAGAACAGGATTAGAAAATAGCCCTTAAGTTTGCCTCAGAGTCTCAGTGATCCTGTGAAATCCACCTCTACTCCTTCACAAATTATACCCTATTTGAGCACACCAGCCTTAAACAACTGGTACCATAAGCATGCAGAAGACTGAAATCACGATCTCTATAGCCAACAGCTGTGTAAACAGCTTATATTTTAAGTTACGTCTTTTCCATAATAGGTGATGCTTCTACTGCAGCTAAAAAATAATGGGGCAAAAAGTCCCTCAGGTTGCTAAGAGATTTATTTTACTCTTTCTCTGTAGTAGACTGCTGAATAAAGCTACAAGTCCAGTATTAGCTTGCTATGATGATTTTTATATTTCAAAAAACTTTCTGAAAAGTTTATAGATAAAATTTCAAAACTGTACCAAAAGTGGGGGTGGGGGAGGACAGACTAATATTCATGGGCTTTCAGTAGTATAGACATTACTTCTCTCTCTGGAGGATCTACAAGGTCACTTGGATGTAAATTAATCATTAACTTGAATAGCATGACTCCTCCTCAAAGTCAGAGAATCTGCAGTACTAGGAAATGCTGATCAGCCTTTCTTCTCACACATTACAAATCAGAATGTGACCCTCACATGGAGGTAAAGCCAGTGCACCAGAGGTTAGGAGGTGAGGAAGGCTTTCTTCAGCAACTGCAAGAGAATCCTTGGAAATTGGGTTAATATTATGTTTTTTTCCACTTGAGAAATTCTTCAAGTTTACTTCTTACCGGCAGACTAAAATGCTGCGTATTTTCTGCTAGTAAATAAATGAGCTGCGTTTCACTTAGTGCATTTTTATACTAGTGGCTGAACACCGAGAATGCACTTTACTGGCTCTCAGACCTGGCCACAGGCATTTGCCATGCAGATTCAACCTCCCTGAGGCTCTGGTTCACTGTATTAGGTAATTTCAAACAAGATAGTTTTATTTACTCTTCTGGTCTGAATGTTTCATCTTACAATTTTTACTTCCCCTTATTTACTCCTCAGGTTCCTGCCAATGAAAAGCTTTTACAACCTTCTCTCTGAGGGCTGGCATTACACTTACTGCATAAGAAATGCTGACCTATAACTTCCGCTCTGTAGGCAGACTGCAAGGTACAGGTCTTGGGCTTTTTTACTCCAAAACAGCTTATGTTGAGTGTGGAATAGCACCAGTTTTATGTGACACTGCATGCTGACTGCTGATAGGTGGATAAAATAAACAACTAATATATATTCCAAAAGAAGAGAATTTCCTGAGTAGGTCACAGCAGTGAAAGAGACAGCAGAGGAAACCGACCTGGTAAAATGATAGGCTACAAAAGCCCGTCAAAACATCCCATTTCTGAAATCTGTTCTCCCAAATCCAAATCTTGTTTTGCAATGAAGCTGACAAAGCTGAGGCATAGTTCAAAAAGCTGAATGGCTTGGAAACAAACAAGCAAAAATCCCTCCCTGCAACTCACCAGGTTATTTTCAGTTAGTAACCTGCACAAGAGAAATTCCTATAATGTTTATTAATACAGCTGAAAACCTGGAATCATTTCTGCTTGCCTTATAAAAGTACTACCCCTGTTTGATACAATAAACAGAATCTCCAATAAAAAATTGCAATGAACAGTGAAAAAAAACCCATGAAATAGGTCTTGGGACCACGATCTCCTATGGTCTCAGAGGTGCAGTACATCAACTTCAACACTGCAGATTACACTTATCACAAGTTTATTTCTAGGAAATGATTTTGCAAGAAGGACAAAAGCTGACTTTTCAATCGAGAATCAAATTTGCTGTGTCATATTTAAGCAAATGCGAAAAAATATTTTTATGATTTTAATTACATTGCTGAGTCATTTCTGGCACTGTGCTGAGACAAAAATGCTCCATCTGCAAAGTTAACTGAACACAAAGATTAACTTTGGCAGGACTGAGATAGACAATAGCCAAGGGAACCTTCAGTGTTCATACTGTAAATACTGCTGGGAAATACTTATTATTCTGATATACTGAAGTTTGCAGATTCTTTCTCATGCTCTGTAGATCCTGTGAACACAGATCTGGAATGAAAACTACGTGGAATAGCTGCTAAGTGACAATAAAACTTTGTGCTGGACCACAAGCCTGTCATAAACATTGCACTCATAGATCTTCTGCCTTCACATTTTCCTTACAGCCTTTGCCTTATGTTTAATCTGAAATAGAGTATTTTTCCTTATAGATGATGTTTAGAAACAGAAGTCTCCTTGTTTATACAAATTCTTGACTTAATCTATTTAAATTTACACAACAACATCACAACAATGCTTCAATATTTGGCATATTTCTGTTTTGTTTAGCATATGTGAAATAGAAGCATATTAGCATGCAGGGCCAGGAAGCATCTCAGTTTAACTCAGCTTCAGCTTTGATCTTGAACTTGGAAAGATGTGGCGTATGCAGATAAGCACAGTGCAAGAAGAGAAACAAGGGGAATATGAAGTCAATGCATTGTTACATTTACAAGAAAACACACATCTTTTCTCATGCCGCTATATCTTGAAATAACTAATGCCAGGCTTCCCGATCCTTGGCTGAACAACTGAGGATGAGTTTGGATCATCCAGGTGCAAATATAACCTATAGTAGTGAAGGCTGAAAAAGGACAAACTTTCCTAACAGTTCATCTGTGTCCAGTACTAAACTGGTCTCCAAACAGTGAAACATGCCTCTTCCTTCCACTTACCTTGCAGAGGACAAGGGACTGAAAAAGAACATGGTGTTCTGAAGACTCCAATCAAGCATACAGATCTTTTCAGCCAACACGCATACTAGAGAGGAAATTTTTGCCCACAGTATGAAAAAGGATGTAAAATTCACTTTGAAGGCTGTCTCATCCTACTATGCTCGGAAAAAATACACAACAAAACTTGTTTTGTCTGTGCTGAAAGCAGTCTGAAAAGCCGGGTTAGATAATACCTAATCTATAACAGTATCAGCAATATTAACGTTTTAACATAATGTCCTTCATTTTTTTTTTATTTGTTCTAAACATTTACCTGTTTGAATGCCACACTACTGTAAAATTAGTCATTTTGAAGGTCTGTGCTAATCCTCTGAAGATCTAAAAAAAATGCACTTACAGAAGATAACTTTCCACTACGACATGCTTGTCATGTAAGGATATAACCTGAGAAAACCTAATTCTATTTTTCTGCTATTTTCAGGTTCTCTATTTTTATTCATAACTACCTCTGATGTTTTGATGTCCTCGTAAGAAAACTGCACAGCAGGCACTCCAAGATGGTTGATGAAGTAATCTGAATCTCCCTGTATCTGCACAGAACTCACATTAGATTCTGGACATTTAGTCTTCTCCACACAGCTGAAGCTCTGGCTCTGAAAAACAAGCACAAATCAAGATTCTCCTTAATTATTTGCAACCAAACTCTCAAAACTCGTTATCAGTATCTCCTTTATACAGCATTCTTTAGGTTGAAGCATTTTAAAAACAGGCTGGAACTTACATTGGTGCAAACAGATAACAGCTGATTCGTACTTAGCAGTGACTGATTCTACAAACCTTTCACCTTCTATTGATATACCCTGCAGTCTTTGGGATCGGACATCGCAGAGAACGAAGAGGGCTGCAACATGGTTGAGTTGGAAGGACAATGGAAGTCGTATCTAATTGAAACTAGGAGGGGCAAGAGAAGAAGCCTTTGGTAGGCATGTGAACTGTACTACACTGGCGTAGAGGTCATCATGGTGCCTTTTGGAAGCAAGTTCTGAGATCTTTAATGGCTACTAAGGAGTGTATTCTTTATTCAGTTAAAAGCACACTCTCTAACAGCAAGAAGCTGAATCAGATAATCATATTTAAGACATCTATGGTCTATGAAACGGTGGCAATTCAAGAATTTGGTGCAATTGCAAAGTAGGTGTTAAGAGAAAAACAATTAAAAGGCTAAAGATACATAAATACACATTTTCTGGGTAAACTGCTTAAAACAATTCTGGTCAGTGACATGTTTGTATTTCATTCACATAAGTATTTAATGGTGAAATCTTAGCAACGGAACTGATAAATATAAGATGAAAACTGGAAAACAAGCCCAAGACTGAGTGCCACATATTAGTGTAGCTTTCAAATACACCAGGTAATTAAACACTTAATAAACAGTAGACACGAAAGCTTTCAACATCCATTATAGCAAATAAGCTACTTAGGTTTCTTTTTAAGAATGTTAAGAAGTTGAAGTACTAGAGATTATTCACATTTATATAGAATAACATAACTTCCTCAGACCTACCTACTAAATTACTAGCTTGCTACAAGAACACTGTAAGTTCTTACTTCTCCTTTAATACAAAAAAATACCCAATTCTGCATATTACTGTTTCTGGGGTTAGCAGGAAAATGTTTTAAGAGTTAGAAAGACACAAATCTTGGTATTTTTCCATATTTAAATTAGAAAAATTATTGCTTCGCAGTTTCACTTCAGTGCTATGAAGAACGCAATTGCATATTACTCAGTATAAATAAGGGCTGCAGATTCTCAGAGAAAGCTATTTTAAATTACCTTCAAGAAATAGCTTCCATTTCAGAAATATTTTTGAAAGGTTGCTCTATCACTCTCTTCTTTTGTTAAACATTTCTGCTCCTGCTATTCTTACATACATCCACAGTTGTGTAAGGTCCATCCAAAAAGACTGAGAGTTATAGTCAAAACAGAAACAAAAGATCCCTTCTGCATGTGCAGTCCACCTCTAGTAAATACTATCCCCTTTAAAGATATCCATGGAGCAACGTGATCTACAGCAGTCAAAAGCCTGGCTCTCCATGGCATAGTAAAACAAAGAATAATAAAAATTACACACTAACATAGCATCAATCTTATGCTTCATTTGTAAGTCATAGTTGTTAAAACACTGCAGACAAAAGTTTAAATCAGGGATTTTTTTTTTATTATTTTAGAGATTTTTTTTTTAGAAGTTTTTAAACTTGAAGGCATCCCTTTAATTACCACTTTTGTTCCTGTGTTTCACTCCCCCTTTATACCATTCTTGAGAAGGTTTCAATCACATTGAGAAGACATTTAATAACATCACAGTGTGGGTGTTCAAAGATAGACACATCCACCTGCTATCTAAACAGTTCCAATAAAGTCAATAACATTGTTTTTTAAAAGCCGAACCCACAACAGAAACAGCAGAAGACCAAACCATATACTCATTTAAAAAGGTGTTTTCAAATAACCACACTTTATTTTCTACAATCTTTCTCAGCCGCAACCACTGTATAGCACACAGCCACACATAAAGGCATGTTTATAATTTTATGCATAAACATGTACGGAAGATCCATTCTTATGCAATCGCTACTTTCAGGAATTATAAGATGTTTAATTATCACACAATACACTATACTACTGTGTAGATTAGACTGTCTCCTGACTTCCTCACACTGCCCAACACATCTAACCCAACATGGTTATAGATGCTACAGGAACACAGCTAATTAAAGAGTATTTTGCTATTATTCCCTTTTCTGTTTGGTTTCTAAGAAGTGAAAACGATGATAGAATCAGTCAATTCTGAATGTATATCAACTTCCATTTCTGCTAGCATACCGAGAACCAAAATAAGAGACATCATCCTTTTTCAGAAACCCAAGCCTGACTTTTAGCCAGCATTCTGTCCCTCAGAAAACACTTTACTACATTCTATTTTAACCATTCAAAAAGAATCCATTGCTTTTTTCCTCACTATAGCAAGAAAAAAGTATTTTTATGTATGAAATTTTACATACAAAATGTTCAAAGATTTGGTTAAGAGTACAATACAGTACTTTTGGGTTTTTACATCACCATGCTTCATGGTATAGGATTTATATTTTTAGGACAGCAAGGACACAATTTTTAACTGCTTTGTGCAACTTTCACTGTTCTGACACACAAGCCCCTGATAATGACTAGTTCAACAACAAATGTTTAACACTGCCCTAATATGGGAAAATGCCTTTTCTCTTCCAATTTATTTTTATTGTTACACAGACTCCACAACGTCAGCATTCTTCAAGCTTTTGGCAACCAATGACTGCAAAGTTCATGTAGTGTGTTTTGCATATATTAAACAAATGAAATGTTTCCCAAAATTAATGGGACTTAAATAATAATAATGTCTTACAATTAATAAAACTTTCCCATCAATGAAGTGTTGTTAAACTAAGAGGCAAGCTGTTAACTTAGTCAATGCAAGAACAGCAGCCTACCATACAGCATGCCACACATTTCATATACAATAACAAATCAAAGCAAATAAGTTGAAGGAATCAGCAAAACAAGCCTCTTCCTCCACCCCTGTCTTACAGTTGCAAGAAAAGAAATTGAGGAACAACTTCTGGAATAAGAAGCAAAAACGAGATAGTCTTATGCAGAAGAATCACGGAAGGCATAGCAATGATGGGACATGGGATGGAAGCAATTGGTTGGACATTTTATGGTGCCTGCTTGCCTAAATACAGGTGTCTAATATCATCTGAGATGTTGCGATGCATTCACACAGACTTACAGAAAGACACAGGGTAACCTTGTATCTTAGTGGATCAGCATCTGTAGGAAGGAAGTATATCAAACCTCAAACGAGATTACACTCTTTTGTTTATATAACTGAAGTTCTGTTATTTATACAGATCTGCTTGTCAATGTTCAGGCAGCTCAGCCTTGTACTTATTATTATTGTTTTGGAGGTAAAAGTAACATCAATTAAGTCTAATACTAACTGCATTTACAGCATTAAACATAGCAGCTGGAGACGTAACTGAAGCCACACCTACAAATACCTGTTTATAAGACTATTACTCACATACTGCTTATGCTGGTAGTTGCTGCTTTCATTTCCTTCCCTCTTCATCTTTACCTAGAAGGACCATTCTAAATCTGTTTGATCTTTCTGCACTCAAGACAGTCCTGTTTCTGAAAGAGAAATTAACTTCAAAGTCCACAAACACCACTTAGTTAATCAACTGGAATATTGTTCTTGCATCATGTGAAACACTCTCCTACCAAAATGTACAGGCACTGTCTCAAGTTTCTTTCAATGTGCACCAGTCAGCAAAACCAGGAAAAGACTGTCTCCCAAAATTGTAACTGCAATTTATGACAAGCAGGACAGCTTCCATGCTTGGCAACAGAACCCCTGATCCCTACTGCAAGCCAAATCGGCATCAATGCGGAACACAGATGAAAGACTGACTGTGAAAAAAATTACTGCTGCTAGGAAATGAAGGTCACTCCTAAGAAAAATACTACTAGGAGATGTGGGCTGTAGAACTGACTGGGGTGGGAGTGAAGATCATATCAATGCAAAAGTACAAAAACACAGGATTTAAAAGCATTTTAAAATTCTTCAATGCCGAATAATTTGTCAATAATCATGTAGCAGCAACTGTGTGTCACTTCGGCATTCTGATTTCCCTTTATTTTTTTTTTACTGACCAACTCATCTGGTATTCTTCTATGTTTAAATCTAAAGTGGTGTCATTTACAAAAAAACTACTCTTTATAACATGACAAATTTGATTAATTTTAATTCTGATAATCCACAGAATCTTTCCTTTCATATAGGCCAAAACAATTAGCAAGTTCTCAGTTTGGAAAAAAAGTTTAATTGCCATGCATTACTTCATCAGTTGTGGTCAGGTTCTACTTAACGATCCTTTAAATGCTAGCGTTCATGTAGGCAAAAAAAAAAATCTTTAAAAACGCATCTAGAATAAATTATCAGCAACATGCTCTGTAAGAACTAACTCCCTGCTGTAGTGCAGGCAAACTGCATTTCTTCAGCCGGTTAGTCTTACAGTAAAACACACACAATAGCACTATTTAGATCACTCAGTGTCTCAGGCTGGTCTCCACTGTGTCGATCACGCCCTCCCTTTAGATGGGAAGGAAAGCAATCCGTGTGGTTAGGCAGTACTCAAGGAGTGGTTCACGTCAGTGCAAGGACGCGCGTGCTATTCGTAACTGAATAATTTTATTTCTCTCGAGTTTGGTTTCCAGCATCGCGTTACAGGTTTGTGTTACAAATTTGAGAAAATGATAAGTACCGTATGGCTCATTAAATACATTTAATTTGGATTAATGCTGTAAAATAGCCCTGACATATCTAAGTATAATCAAGTGGTACTTCACTGCAGACCTTATTCTACCACTAATTAGAGCTAAGCATTCGTGGGTGCCTTTTGCTGCAGTGTTAAGATCCGGGTATAAATACAAGCCTACATAAAAAATATATATATATTATTGGGTATTTCTACGATTCACCTTCCACCTGAAGACATACACCTGGCAGTTAGTTCTGCTCATCCTCCCTCCCTATGTGACTCCAGCTGAATC